GATGCTGCCCAGGAGCATGACTCTAAGACAACTGAATGACCCCAGGAACCTCTGCATTTGGGCCTTCCAGGGCATGGGCTAGGGGCAGGGCAGAGAGGGAGCATCCAGCTGGAAAGCTCCGGGGACCACAGGGACCATCTCTCATGGGCCAGCAGGGACACTGAGGCCCCAAGAGGGACCCAGCCCTGTCCAGAGACAGGTAGATGAATGATGGCAGAAGCAGGGCCTGACACGGCCCACCTGCCACCTCCCCACTGTGATTTTCACTAGTAAAAAGTCCTACCCCAGTGCTGCTGTCCACTGTAACCAAGCTGTCTGAGCAGAATTCCTGGCTGGCACCAGGGAAGTGAAAGGTTGCCCAGTAACCTCTCCAGCTGGGCAGATGCTTCCTTCTCAGCCAGCACCAACCCCATTTGCAGGTGGTAGCTGGGCAAGGCCTCACGCCCCCTTTCCAGCACACCCCCACCACCAAAATACACAAAATGGAGACCATGCACAGGCTGGGAGGGGGCCAGGCCTGATAAACCCACAAGCGCCCCTCCACCTTGAGTCTTGGCTGTAGGTCAAGCTGGGCCCTCTTGCCATGGATCCCTTCTGAGCAGGCACGTCAGCAGCACCTCCTACAACAGTACTCCAGAGAGGAGTTTCCAGTGACCCAAACTTCTCAGCAGCTTGCCTGAGGCTGGGGCTGAACTGCCTTTCGAGGAAGTCCCCTGTGATCTAAGGACCCAGATTCTCCCTGGGCTAGTGCAGTTGCAGGAGGAGTCTTCCTAAGTCCTCCACCCTCCCTCTTGTTTAGCTATCTGCTCTATTGATAACTCCCTTTGGTCAGGGGTATCTTAAGACAGAAGTTAGTAGGGTCTCCAGAAGGCAGAAGTTCCCGGCCAAGACAGTGCACATTTACCTAGTAAAAAACCCTCCCTGCTGGCCTCCTGTCCTTGTCCGCTGCCTCCTGCGGGATTACTCTTGGGAGCAGAGTCTGTGATCCAACCCCGTATCTCTGCTGCTCTGTGCCCACCTCATTGACCCACTCCCCTCAGACGGGCTCAGGGTGAAATCAAAGCAGATGCTACTCACATGGAACAGCAGGAATGGGGTGTGAGAGGACAAGAAGACCAGATTGGGAGTTCAAGGCTCCAGCTGCCCTACCTATTAGCTGTGAGACCCTGGACAAGTCCCCAGAACTCTGCACCTCAAGTTCTTCATCTGAGAACTGATTAAGGCAGCAAAATGTTGCCAGACCTAGCACAGGACCTGGCGCACAGCAGACTGTCAGCAGATGGGCCTGCTATTCCTTGAGTCTGGACACAATCCCTTCAGTAGGAAGGTGAGGTATGCTGGGCACAGAGACAGACAACCTGGGTTCTAGACCCAGCTCTGCCACCATGTGGGGGGTCTGAGGCAAGTCACCTCCCTCTTTAATAAAATCCAAGATTTGGACTGAGCAGTCTGGAATGGAACCTGTGAAACACATACCATCACTTACACATTCTGTAGCAATGCCAGACATGAGCAGTCAGTCACAGCACTGCTGCCTACTGACTCCAGCCATATCCAGTTTCAGAATCCCTGAACAGCCAGCACCACTGAATGACAACTGAAATAAAAAATGGAACCACAGGTCTGCACCTGAATTTTGTCTTTGGGACTTTGGGACCCAGCTAGGTGACTTTGAGCCTTAGTTTCCTCTTCTGTAAAATAGCCACACCCAGCAAGTTTGTGAGGATTAAATGAGATAATGTGTTCAAAATGGACTGCCAACAGTCCAGCTCCAGTAGGGGTAATTTTCTGCCACCACCTCCAGAGACTGGGCAGGAAGCTCTGCCTCCAGGCCCCCTGGGCTGCCCCTTGCATACCCTTAGGCGACATGGACAGTGTAGTCCAGTGGAAGGAGTTTGAGCTTGTTTGACCTCAGGCTAGTTGTAACTCTCTCTGAGTCTCAGTTTCTCCTAAATAAAATGGGCTGATACTTATTTTACAGGGTGGGCATAAGGATTAAATGAGGTATCAGACAAAGTGCCAGAGAAGAGACTGTTCAGTAAGCAGGGAACAAATGGGCTACTCTGATCTACCCTCCCCAGGCCACAACACCTTCACAGTGGGTGCCCAGGCTGCTAGGAGAAGCAGGGAGGGAGCATGGCTTTATGGCTAAGTCCTCAGGGAAGCTGCCAAGTCACCAATGCAAGTGGGTACATAGGAATCCCCACTGGTCACCATGGCAGAAACCATGGCCCCAGGAAAGCGTGAATCCTGGATCAAGTTGAAGGTGGGACGTGGCCTCCCACCACCAGACCCTGGGGCCTCTCTGCTCCTCCCTGCACCCTCCCCTCCCAGGCTGCACCCCTCCCTGGGGTCTGCCATTGGCATCAGCCCTACCCCTGCCCCCTGATCAAGGCCAACCTGGTGCAGGCCCCAGAGGCTGCCCTCTCCGAGGTGGAATAGTAAGCCCGGTGGACTCAACTTCTAATCCAAGTCACAGGGTGGCTTTGCAGCCTCTTCTGGGGAATGCAGAAACAAGGGATGACATCCACAGGCCTTCCAGCTCTGATGTCATGACTGAACCTTAGTGTGAGAGAGCGTGAAGCAAAGCGGCTCATTCCACTCTCCCGCCTTCATGAAAGGCAGCTGCTGAAAACACGCAGGGAGACATCCTTCCCTCCTGCCTGTGCTCTTCCCACCCCATGTGATTGCTGTCTAACCACCTCCTCTACTCCTCTGACCCCCAGCTGTTGTTCTGACCTCCCAGCAGGGCTAACTTCAGGCTGGCTCTCAAACTGCTACAAATCTGCCAAATACAGTATCTTTGGCATGTGGTGTCCCCTGCTGGAAACACCTTCTTAGCTTGCTTCTTGGTGTACTTCTGCTCATCCCTCAAGACCCAACCCAAAGGCCACCCCCTCTGGGAAGCTCTCCCTAGCCAAGCAGCCAGTCTCAGGCTCCTCTGGCCACTCTCACCCCTACTGACTTGTAATAATGAAGAAAGGATGCTGAGTGGACAAAGCAGGCAGGCAGGTGGGTGGGCACCAGCCAGCCACACCTGGAGGAGGAGAAAGGCCTGGGGAGGGCGCCCATGCCCAGAGTCTGCTATGCAAGTAGCTAAGGAAAAATTACCCCTGGCAGCCCTTGAGCAACAAGGACAGAGCCTGCTTATTACAAAATATCCTTTATTGATAAAATAGCTCAGACTTCTAAAAAAACACCTGCATATCACAACAAGGGGGACACAGGCAAGAATAGCAGAAGTCCCATGGGGAAAACACAAGCCCAGTCAGCAGACATCTCAGGTCAGCCCCTCCCCTGGGCCAGGCTCCCAAGCCCTGCCCCAGGGCAGTGCCCAGGCCTCACACATAGAGACCAAGGAACAAGCTGAACAGTCCCCTTCCCCAGGAGGGACTCTCTTTGGTGCCCCCCATTCTCTCTCCACACCAGAAAACCCCTTCAGCACCTTCCAAATCTGGCCAGGTCCCTCAGTGACAACAGCATCTGTGCTGCTCAGCCCTACCCCCAAGCTGGTGGTGAAGCCAGCCACTCCCATGGGGAAGACTGGGAAACATCCTTCACGTGCTCCCATTTGTTCTGGGTGCCAGGTTATGGGGTAAGGGAGAGAATTCGGAGGGAAGGGTTCCCTTATATCACTGGGATGCAGCAGCAAGCTGGGTTGAAGATGGCCCAGGGCTGTCCCATCACAGTGCCTATTTGGGGGTTGGAGACCTGCCTAGGCACCTTGGGGTCCTTGCTCACCTGCTCCAGTCGCAGCACCATGCCTGGGGGCTCTGTCACCTGCCATAGGCTCTCATCTCAGACTGTTCCTATGGTGTGGCTATTTTTAACTATCTTGGGGAAACAATTTGCCTGCTTGATGATAAAAGACTTACCCCCACTGGGGGGCCCAAGCCACTGAAAACCCTGTTGGTGTGGCAGGTGAAATGTCGAGAAGTTGCCATGCAGCATAATAATGCAAACCTTTGCAGGCACAAGAACATGTCCTCAAAGAAATCTTTTAACTGAAATAGTGGTCCTGTCTGCCACTCCCCACTTCCAGTTTGGGGTAGGAATTTACACACCCAGGCACAGACCAAAAGTCTACAGGAAGACAGCTGATGGTAACACACAGAGAAGGGGATTTTTATATCCCCGAATAATCACATTTTCTGGTTCTCTAGTGCATTCCCCCATGGAGCTCAAAGCTTTCCACAAAACCTTTCATCTCCCTGCAGCAAGTAAGCTATTGTTACCCCTGGGTTTCTGCAGGGGATAAATGCTAGTGATTCGGGATCTCCTGTGGAGGCAGAGGCCAAGCTTCCAGACTGCCCCCCTGAGGCATCCACATACACATCTGCCTCCCAGAGGGGTACAAGGTAAGGAAGAGGATCCACAGTTCTGGGCTTTAAAGGAGATACAAATTCAAAAGCAGGGGGAAAGGGGAAGAAGGGCCCAGAGACAGTGCTAGCCCATAAAACCCCACTCAGTGCCTGATGGGGGTCACGGGTACCCAATGTGCATGCCTCCTCCTCAGCAGCAGGCCATCCTGGGAAACATGGAAGGCTGGCTTCCTGCTCTTTACCAGGGGAAGATGAGAAATAAACAAAACACTGCAAGCAAGTGACTGGCCAGGGAACACAGGGTATTCGAGGAAGGGAAGCCCACCCATTGGCTTTGCCAGCATCTGGGGCTCTGGGAGGGAGGTGCTTTATCCTAGTCTGGGCTCAGCTACATTCAGGAAGGTCCAAGCTTCATCCGTCTGCCTGTTCTCAGGCAGAGGATGGAGAAGATGTCCCTGGCCCTCCAGCCAAGCCAGCAAGGAGAGTCTTCAAAAACCCTGTGAACAGCAGCCCTGCCCCTGCCCCTGCCCCTCCCAGAGGCTCCCAAGATGAGCTTGAAGCACCTGGGTGGACCCCAGAAAGCCCCAAGGAGGTGGCCACACAAAACAGGGTAAGAATTAGGGTGGCCCTGGTGCCACCTGGCACCAACCCGACATGGGCAGCAGGCAGGCGGCTCACCATGCCGTCTGGGTCCACTGGCGGCAAAGGATCCTTCGGAAGGCACGGCGAAAGTCCTGGTTGAAGATGGTGTAGATGACGGGGTTCAGTGAGCTGTTGCAGTAGCCAATCCAGAAGAAGAACTGGAAGAGACCGTGGGGCACCTTGCAGTGCTGTGGGCAGATGGCACCCAGGCTGTAGCTGAAGAAGAAGGGGAACCAGCAGAGCACGAAGACACCAATCACCACAGCCAGCACAAAGGTGAACCGCTTCTCCCTGGTCAGCTGCGCCCGCCGACGCCACCACTGCCCACTACCCACAGCAGCGCCCACGCCCCTGCCCAGAAGCACTTGGCCACGCAGTGTCGCCAGCACCCGGGAGCCCTGTGGCTGCCGCAGGGGTGGGCTGCAAACCGAGGCAGGAGACGCTGGCAAGGCCTGAGGCTCATGATCCTCTTCCTCCTCCTCCTCCTCCTCCTCCTCCTCTTCAGCTTCCTCCTCCGGAGATGCCCCACAAACACCTTCATTCTGACCCTGACCTGAGTTGGGAAGGGCAGACCAGCTGGGTGGCAAGGCGGGAGTCCCTGGATCTTCAGGGGTCTCCCCCTCTCTCTTCTCCCCAATGGGCTTGGAGTGTCCATTGGCCTCTCCAGAAGCGGCCAGAGAAGCCAGGGTTGGCAGTGTAGCTGAAGCTCCCCCAGGGACCCAGCAGGGCTGCTTAGACTCACCCTCACGAGGGCCCCACTTAGCCCTGGGACCTCTGCGATGGCTGCGTTTGGCGATCAGGTAGATGCGCAGGTAGACAAGGATCATGATAAGGCAGGGTGCGAAGAAGGATCCGATGCTGGAGGCCAGGATGTACCAGGCCTCTTGGTTGAGCTTGCACTGAGGGCGCCCGCGGGGCTGCGAACCCTGGTCACCCTTGTAAATAAGGGGCGGCAGCGAGATGACCGCCGCAATGAGCCACACGGTGAGGATGATGCACTTGATGCGGCGTGGGGTGCGCTTGGAGTTGTACTCCAGTGCTCGGCTCACCGCCCAGTAGCGGTCCAGGCTGATGGCGCACAGGTGCACGATGGACGAGGTACAGAAGAGCACATCGAGCGCCAGGTACACCTCGCACCACGTGCGCCGGAAGTACCAATAGCCGAGCAGCTCATTGGCCAGCGAGAAAGGAATGATGAGCGTTGCCACAAGGATGTCAGCGGCGGCCAGCGACACCAGGAACAGGTTCTGTGGGGCGCGCAGCGAGCGGCTAGTCAACACAGCCAAGATGACCAGCGCGTTGCCAAAGATGGTGAACAGGATGAGGAAGGTGATGACAGCCGCAATGGCCGCGGTGGCCTGCACTGAGTAGGGCTCCTGATGGTCCATGGCGGGGCCGGACGTGGCCAGAGGGGGCGCTGCTCGCCCAGCTCGTGCCCAGGCAACGACGGCGCTGTCTCACCCAGCTCCTCTAGACAAGTGGGTCGCCCCCCTGGCTGCGCTGAAGGCGCTGGAGCTCCATGGCGAGACCGAACGGAGCCTAGGAGATCGGGGGAATGCTAGGGGCCAGCGACCACTCTCCTACATCCTCTTCCACTGGAGCCCGGCGTCCCTGCCGTCTGCCCCGGAGAAGTTTTCCAAGTTGTCCGCTGCGGTCCACGCCTCGCCCGGAACGGGGGGAAAGTTGCGCCCTCCAGCCACCAAGCTGCTGGACGCACGTCGGGCCGCGGGGCCCCGGAGGGCCGGGTAGGGGGCGCGCCACCGGTCCTTGGCGGAGGCGCGGAGGCAGAGGTGCCCGCTCCGCCCGCTAGCTCGCTCTGTCTGGGAGCCACTCCTGCAGGCAACCCGCCGCGGCAGGGGAATGGGGACAGAGCGAGCGCGGCTGGAGGAGGGAGGAGACTGGAGGCGGGAGGTGGAGGAAGAGGGAGGCGGGGCGGGGCGAGCGACCAAGGGTGGGTGGAAGGTGCGCCTCGCCGGAGGACCTACGGGCCGCAGCCTCCCCGCGCCCAGCTTAGCCCTGGAGCCCCTACCCCTTTTCCTCCCAGCCTCCGCGCAGCGGGAGGTCAGAGAGATCTGGCGTCTGGAGTCTTCGGGATTCTGGGGACATGGCTTGCAGAAGTGGAAGGGTCAGTGCGCCCAGGGAGCGGGGACGCGGCGCGGGCGCGTCGTAGGGCCCGAAGGCGGGACCTCTCGTGCGGACTGCTGGTCTGGGTCCCAGCACCCGGCTGTAGGATGGTGGGAGCGAGCTGATCTCCCACTAACCGAGCCCCAAGGGCAGGGTGAGTGGGTGTGTTGGGGCGCCGGAGCATAATAAACACACCCGCGACCCGGCGCCCGAGAAGGAATGAGTTGCGGAAGGGGTGGGGTAGCGTAGAGACTGCCCGAACCCCATCCCCAAATGCTTTGCCGTCTCAGCTGGACCCCGTCGGGCCTATGAAGCAGGAAAAGACGCGCGTGGCCAGCTTGCGAGCGCCCCCTGCCGCCGCCCACGTGCTGAGATGGTCGGCGGCCAGCCGGGAGACTTGCGTCCTCCAGGCATCTTGCGGGCCCTGAGAAGGTTCCCAAGCCTGGTAGGGCAAGTGAGTGCTCAGAGATTTAGGACTTCAGCTTTTCTGTTTCCTCTGCAGCTGCCTCAGTTTCCTCCCTTAAGGGCAATGAGGTAAGAGGAGAACAGGCTTGGACTCAAATCTCAGCAGCAGCTCAGACCCAGATCACTGGGGGAGGGGGTGCATGCTTGGCAAATGCCAACCTCTTGACCAGGAAAAGGGTGTTCCATGGCGCAGACCAAGGAAACCTAGTGGGAGTCAAAGGAGGGTCTTTTTTTTACAAAGCTTAGAGAACAAGCCTCAGGGGCAGCTATTACAGGAGGGGCTTCCTTCTCCTGGGTAGTGAGCACCCTCCCTGCTCCAGCCCTGCTGACTCCCCGATACACACTGCACACCCCTTTTGGAGTGGTGGTGGAAAGAGGAATTGGGGTGAGAAGAAAGTCAGATTAAGCAGTCGGCCGTGACTCCCATCCTGGGTTTACAGAGCTTCAGCCTGCTGCTCCACCCCCACTCCCCAACTCTCCTGGTGCCCCTTGCCACCAGTGCCAACCTGTGCAGCCTCAAGGGCACATTTTTTCACCACTTCTGGAGCCCCTAATGCCATAACCCCAGTGTGGAGCCAAGCCTCATATTTATAGCCTACAACTCTGCATTGCATCCTCTGTATAAATATTCATCAACCTATCTCTAAAAGTAGGTCTCCTCCATAGTACCCTGCCTTAAGCCAGTATGCCCGGTGGACCTTCGTTCCTTCCCCTCCCCCATGTTCCTGGGAGCAAGGAGTGCAACCTCTCAGTGCCCACAGACAGTGTCTGACCCCTACCCAGTACCCCAGACCCTCCCACAGCCACGTGGGGTGTGGGGGGAAGTTCCTCCTTGATCCCTGGCTATCCCTGCCTCCTGCCAGCCTGCCCAGCCCTCTGTTAGGTGTGAGTGCCCACAGCCTGGTACAATGGGTGCTGGCTAGGAGTGGGCAGCCAGCTTCCCTTGCTGCCTCCACAGACAGGTCTTGTGGATGCATCCTTCCCACTCACTGGGCTGAGTTGGGTTAGGCAGGGCCACAGCCCCCAACTGTGAAGGGATGAAGAGATCTCAGGAGTCCCATCCCTGAGGAAGGACAGAGGGTGGCCACTGGAGCCTGGGAAGCAGCCAGAAGCAAGTTCCTGCCTGTCCCTGGGGCTCCCTGTCTCAGGTGCTAAGGAGTCTGAGCACCCTGGTGGCTCAAATGGGCATTAAGAGGGACCGTTTTTCACACCCTCCAGCAATACTCAGGCTGGGGAGCCAGTAGGTATAGACATGGCAACCACATCAGCCTTTGCCTCCCAGCCCATTTTCCTTAAAAAGCCAGGCCTCAGGACCCTGCAGGAGCTGAGGCCAAGGCTGCAAATACTCCCCCTCCTGCTTGTCCCTCCCCACCCTCAGCCCCAGCGCTGATCCTCACCTGGGCCTTCCCTGAAGGGGCAGCTCCAGATCTACCCAGCTTCAAGCCCTGCTGGGCACCAGCCCAGGTGGGGACAGCCAGGGAGAGTCTCCAGGCACCTGTGAGGCTCAGCCACCACCCCAGGTTCTGTGTTACCTGCTGCCACCTACCAGCGCCACCCCTGGACGTGCCCAGGCTCTCAGGGCAATGAGGGCAGTTACATAACTGGATTCCTTGCTCCTCTCTGAGCTCCCACCTCCCCCTCCACAAACCTTCTGATGCTTCCTTCAGCTCTTCCCAAACTAGATCTGACCTTCCATTGTCATCCCAGTCTCCCAGGGCTGGCAGAGTTCAGTCCAGACCTACAACCAGCCAGCAGCAGGAGCTGCGTAGAGCATTCTCAGCTGTGCGCGCACGTGTGCGTGTGTGTGTTGGGGGCAGTGGAGGAAGACAATGCCGGGCATGGCCTGCCTTCCTACCCCACCAGGCTCCATATTGGTCCCTGAACATTCCCTGGGCTCCCACATCTCCAGGCCTTTGCAGGGGCCATTTGCTCTGCCAGACGACTCTCCTCACACTTCATTCTGTGCTTGATCCCCTCAAGGTCCACTCACTTGTGGCCACCTTTTCAGGCAGAGGGAGGTGCCATCTTCACCAAGTTCTTTAAAGCACCACCTTCCCTCTTGGAGCTGTGCTGAGCTGGGTTTGTTGCATGATTCCTTCCATCAGAGCAGACATCCCTTCTCTGTCCCCAGGATTGTTGAATGGTGAGGGGTAGGAACAGCTGGTGTCAGTCACACACACGAGCCCTTCTCAGACAGGTGAAGTTGTCCCCAGGAGATGTCCTTGGAAAGAGGGGCCATGGGGGAAGCTAGTACCATTTTGTTTTGTTTTTATTTTTAGCTAGTACCATTTTTCCCCCCAAAAAATGAAACAGTTGTCCCATCCCTGGCTGTAAGAGTGAAGCAACAGATGTGCCATCCTAGTTGACAGATCCTCCTGGGCCAGGGCCTTGGAAGGTCCCCGAGCTGCCCTGCCTGCCTTCCTTGAGAGCCCACAGGAATGATCCCCAGCTGGGCTTCACAGCCCGGCTTCCCCCGGAAGCCCCAGCCTGCCAAATCCCTGGGACCCCACCTGTATGGCCCAACTTCCACCCTCCCAGACCCTTGAGTTGTGCCCTTGATAACTAAATCCATCATTTCTTCTCCACCATAACTCACCTGAGAAAGCCCCTACCCTGGTCACACCTGAATCACCCACCCTGCCTTTGGCTAAGCAGCTGCTCTCTCTGGAGCAAAGCACCCTCTGCATCCTCTGGCCTTGCTTTCCAGTGGTGATCACGGATCTCCAGGCATTCCTACCGTGCTCATGTTTCCACTCGGAACTGGTGTCTCACTGCCTCCCGCTTGAGAAAAAATGTAAGTCACTACGTGGGAACTCATCCCCAACCTGTACCTTTACCTGGGCTCCACTGCTGCTTGCAGGGCAAGTCCTCTGCTTGTGCTCTGGACCCAAACCCTTTCATGTCCCCCAGAACTCTGTCCTTTCAGCTCTCCCCTCTCCTCCTGTCACTGTTCCCACTCTACAGGGTCAGCAGAATTCCTTAGAAAGCCCTCTGTGTCCCCACCCTGCAGCTGCCACTTTCAACTGTTTGCCCCTCACTGCCTCAAATCCGTTGGTCAGGCACCTGCACCCCATCGTCCACTCAATCTACTCCTGGTGGGCCATTCATGACTCCATGCCACCAAGTGTGTCCTCCTCTTACCCAGTTTCTCAGCAACATTTTAAACAAGGGGCTGCTCCCTTCCCTTGGGACACTGCAGGTTCTCTTTGCAAGCTACTCCTCAGCCTCCTGTTCTCCCAAACTTTAAACCTGCGGTTCTCGCTGAGTGATTTTTGCCCCACTCTCCTCCACGAGGCTTTTGGCAACACCCAGACACAGTCCCGACAGTCACAACTGGAGAGAGGGGGCTGGTAAACCTCTTACAATGCACAGGGCGGCCCCTCACACCAAAGAGTGGTCACACACAAAATGCCAGCAGTGCTGGGACTGAGAAGCCTGCACTAAATGACACAGCACCTCAGTTTAGGTCTGAGGCCCCTTTTCTTCTGCACCTGACCCCTTCTTGTGTAGTTTCATTTAACCCCATGGCTCCCACCTAGATCCTGGTGATCCCAAAGCTTACCGCCTGCCCCGAACTCCAGGCTCCTTCAGCCCTCACGCTCCCTGGCCCACCCACTTGATAGCTGGTACACTTGGCATCCCCATTTCCCTGGGACGCTGCCTGGCCCCTCGGTGCTAAGCGCTGTGTGTCAGCTCCTCACCCTCTGCATCCAGCAGCAAGTGGGTTGCCTCAGCCCCCAGAACACTCTGAAAGCACCCATTCTGCCCATTTTCACTGCCTCCGTTGCTCTGGCTTGCACAACTGCAACGGCTTCTGTTCTCCCTGCTTCCGTGTTCCACGGAGCCTCCCAATGACTTTTTATATCTTAGATCTTATCACTTTCCTCCATAGAACCCTCCTGCAGCTGCTCCCTGTTGCTCTTGGGATAAAATTCCTCCCTGACTAACCTGGCCCTGCCTGCCTCCCACCCTTGTTGATCCCCCAGTTCCCGCTGCTGCTTCCTGCCACGGGCCTTGCACTGGCTGCTCTTTCCCGGATTTTCACAGGGTAGCCCCCTCCTGTCATTCTCAGCTGAAATGCCAACAACCTAAAGGAATGCTCCTCCTCCCCCATCATTATCAATCCCAGATGCTTTCCTATTTGCCCTTTTTCTTCCATGTTCCACCTCCCCCCGAATAAACTCCATGAAAATCGAAACACCACCCTGCTCACCATGTTTTTCCCTGGTGACTCCTACAGAGCCAACCTGGAACCTAATTCAATAGATGCCTATTGAGTGAGTGAATAAGTTGAAGCAGCAGCCCCCATGGCTACGTGGCTAGGGACTGGGCAATAGGCCATCTACCTATTGGATGGCTAGCCACTGGGCTCTGGTTGACACCCCGGGGCCCCTACATATCATACCCCCATGCTGGGGCTCCAGGGACTGAACCACCAGCAGCAGGATGGGGCTTGGACCACGCCTGGCCCCAGAGCTGGCCTGGGGAATGGCTCTCTAGTGATAGGGGGCTTCTTGGAGGAAGGATGTGATGGACAGCCTTGCCCCTATAAACCCCAAAGATGGGGAAGCAGCAGTGTTCCCCCTGAGCCACCTCGCTCTCTGGAGAACCCAGATCTGAGACCAAAGGCCACATCCTCATGGAGGCTAGTGATGGGCAGCCCGAGAGCTCGGAGGTCTTCACAGGGCCCAAGGAACATCACCTCCTCTGACCCAGTGTGGCCACCAAGAAACAGCCCAGTGCCAGCAGCCTGGCTCCACTCAAAAAGACTGATAGACCAGTAAGGTGTGAGTGCACTCATTTCTCTAAGAGACTGGGCACATATATGCTACCTTTCCTTGGGACTCTACCTGCTGGGAGGACAGCCACAGACCCTACTCACCCACCCTAAACTCCCTCATGCTGCTCCTCCCAGGGCCTAGGCAAGAGAGACAGTTTCCTACCACGCTTCTTCCCTGAGGCTAATACCAGAGACCAGGTTCCTGTTCAGCCTGAGAAAACTCTTTTGACTCGGAACTAAAAGCCAAGGTGGGCAGAGGGCAGAGGGCAGAGGGCAGAGGGCAGAGGGCAGCGGGCAGCGGGCAGAGGGCCCAGCTGCCCATGAGCATTCCCTCGTATCCCCATAGCAGGTGGGCAACCCCAAGTCTCAGGCCTGCTCTGCTGCTCCTGAGCTGTGCCCCCTGGGCTCCCGAGTCTGCTTCTACATCTAGAAACTGGGGGAAGCCCCCCAGGATGGTCAGGAGGCTTCAGGGTACTTGTGTGAGTGAGGTGGTTGGTGCAGCCCAATGCCCCACCACTACAGCAAGTACCCGGCTCTACTTCTGCCTTCCCCACAGATGCCTGCGGCGCCTGCCCCCTCCCACCCCACTGGGCCAGGCCATGGGCTTCTATTCCCCACCCGCCCCAGGCAGGACTTCCGGCAGGTCACAAGAATAGTGCCATTCCAGGAAGGGAGGCCAGGAGCTAAGAGAGAATGGGACTCAGCCAAAGGAAGATAAGCAGGGTGACCACCCACACCCCTCCCCCGCAAAATGAAGCCCTTTCCACCTTCCAGGGCCTCCTCTAGCCAAGTCCTTGGGGGCAGGTGGGGGTTGTGGCATGCAGAAGGGGGCAAGGCTCCTGAGAGCAGCCACTTGGGTTGGAGAGGAGCTCTGAGTCCTCTGTCAGGGACCTCACAACCTCACCAAGTTCCCTAGTGTGCAGGCCTAGAGTGCACCCCCTCTCACCCCGGGCCCCTTCATCTCCCCCTGGGTGGCACCTTTGCTGCAGGGGAGTGAGTTGGGCTCTGAAAGCCTCCTGGAAAGCAGGGCCAGAGGCTACAACTGCAGGCAAACATTCTCAGCACCCAGACCTTAGGGACAGGAGACTGCTCCCAGGAGCCCAGCCATGAGCCTGAGCTGATGGAGAGAGGGGGAGCACCATTAGCATCCTGGGGGCTGGGGGACCTTCAGGGCTGGAACCTGCCTCTGCCTGCCCCTGAAGCCCTGGAAAATGATACCTCCTATTCCCAGCATCCTCCAGGGCTGGGGCAGAAGTTGAAGGTGGGTAGAGCCAGGCATCCCCTTATAGGCCTGACTGCCAGAGCCCCTCTAGCCCCAGGAGCCCTGGGGTGGGAGGGGGACCATGATGGGGCAGGAAGGGGCTGGGGGAAAGGCCTAGGCCTCAGGCAGGGTGGCCAGATTGGGGCTAGAAGACAGGGGTGCTGCCCAGAGAGATTAAGAGTTACTCAACCTGGCTACTCTGGGCAGAGGTTACCCTTCCCACCTGGGGACAGAAGCCACAGGCCTGGAGCCTGGGCATGCCCCTGAGGTGACTTCCAGGTGCTCCTGGTAGATCTGGGTTCTCCAAAGCAGCCTGGTTGGGTGCTGCCGGGTCTTCCAGAGATGGGGTTGGGGGCCCCATCAGTGCCCGAGCCAGCCAGGACTGCTCCAGAGCAATAGCAGGAGCATCAGCTCCAGGCCTTGAGCTTGGGGAGGAGGCTGGAGGCTGAGGCAGCCTTGCAGAGGCTTCTACGCCAGGCTTCCTCAGGGCAGGGTGCTCCCACCCCCCTGGGCTTTCTCCAGGCCCTGCAGCTACATGCTGGTCTCCAGTGTCCGGGCTGCTGGATTCCATCAGTGCCTTCAGAAGCCGCTGCAGGTAGGGTGTAGAGTCAGGAGTGGGGCTCCTACCATTGCTGTGAGGCTGGAGCCCTAGATCAGGAAAGATAGGAGGTCACATCCCAGAATCACAGAAGCCGCCAGAGGACTCAAGTTTATAGGGAAACAGAGCTCCCCTCTATGCTGCTGCCAAACTGCTGTCCAACACATCTGAGATCCAAATTCCCAGCACTGCCATGAGACACAGGCCACAGAACCACCCCATTCCCTCCCTACTTGGTCCCAGAGGTCAACACCAGAAAGTCAGACCTCAGGAGTCTTCCATGACCCACTGCCCTGATGGTTGACCCACCCACAGCTGAGGGCTGACTGGGCGGCACAGGCTGCCAGAGCTAACACCTCCTGGGGCTGCTCAGCAATACCTTACCTCTCACGCCACATTTGAAGCCTCTTCCAGAGCTTCTCCTACACTTGCAGACACATCCAACCAGGGCATCAAGAGGACATTGCTGAGCACAGTTGGACCCTAGCACTCAGTGGTCAGGTCCTCCTTACCAATGGCTGCTACCTCTTCCTTTGTAAAATTCTCCTTCGTTTTAGGCTGCCTCTCATCCCTGTTGCTGCTGCCCAGGCTTTGAAGGCTTTGCCTTGAGCCCAGTCTTCCATCAGTTGATGCTTACCCCATTCTGAGCTGGCATGCTCCCACCATCCTCCCTCTTAGGCCCATTGAGTTCCCCACCCATCCCTGCCAGTGGAGCTACTCAGCACCAGAAACCACCACTGCAGAAGTCTCAGTTGCTGGCAGCCCCCACCTCAGACAGCACCCACAGCTGAGGGCTGACTGGGCGGCACAGGCTGCCAGAGCTAACACCTCCTGGGGCTGCTCAGCAATACCTTACCTCTCACGCCACATTTGAAGCCTCTTCCAGAGCTTCTCCTACACTTGCAGACACATCCAACCAGGGCATCAAGAGGACATTGCTGAGCACAGTTGGACCCTAGCACTCAGTGGTCAGGTCCTCCTTACCAATGGCTGCTACCTCTTCCTTTGTAAAATTCTCCTTCGTTTTAGGCTGCCTCTCATCCCTGTTGCTGCTGCCCAGGCTTTGAAGGCTTTGCCTTAGCCCAGTCTTCCATCAGTTGATGCTTACCCCATTCTGAGCTGGCATGCTCCCACCATCCTCCCTCTTAGGCCCATTGAGTTCCCCACCCATCCCTGCCAGTGGAGCTACTCAGCACCAGAAACCACCACTGCAGAAGTCTCAGTTGCTGGCAGCCCCCACCTCAGACAGCAGCTTGTTTGCACCTGCTCCTAGCACAGATGTCACCACTGTCCAGTCCTGCCAAGCCCAGGATCCACACGTCTTATTCTATAACTCTTCCCTTTCAGACCCCTCCTCACCTGAGTGGGACACCCTGCAGCCTTCACTGCAGTCACTCCTTTGGAAACCTCAAGCCTCCCCACCCCACCTGCCTACAAACCCCAGTCCTGGAGGGCCAAGTCAGCAGCCTCCACCATGTCTCCACTTGGGCAGCCAGCCCTGCCCTGTGTCTACTTAGAATTGCTGGGGTCCTATGGGAATTCCATACTGAGCTGCTAAATTGTTGTCCAAATTGATTATACAATTTTTCATTCCCACCACAGTGCATGAGGGCTCCAATTTCTCTACACCTTTGTCAATACTTATTACCTATTCTTTTGGTGATAACCATCCTAAGTGGGTATGAAGTGGTACCTTGTGGTTTGGCTTTGCATGTCCCTAATCATGTTGAACATCTCTTTATGTGTCTGTCAGTCATCTGTAGCTTTTCTTTGGAGACATGTCTGTTCAAATCCTTCACCCATTTCTCATTTGGGTAGTCTTTCTATTGCTGGGTTGTAAAAGTTCTTTGGATGCAATGGCTAAGACCTCCACTGCAGCCTTGAATAGATGGGATAATTGGAAATTTTGTTTTGGTTCTGACTTCAGTGTTTCAACAATAAAATGATTTTTGCTCTTGGTCTTTGGTAGATCCATGCTAAGATTAACAGATAGAAATAAACTCCTAAGAAAGTGACCTTGAAAGTGACCTTGAAGTCATAAGTATTAACTTTTTTGAAGTGTTTTTTCCTCTCTCTTACGGTGAGCCCCTGGTGACCTCATTCTGCTCACTTAAACCTCATCTCCCACCACTTCACCCTCACTGATACCACCTTAACACAGGAGCCTTCTCCACATTCCTCAGATCGCTCTGCCCCTGTCACTCACCTCTCCCATGGGGGTCAAGGCCACTTGGGCTGCAGTCATAAAGCCTGAGGACCCTTGTGATGTCCAAGGTGCTCAGGTTCCATCGCTGGCCAATGTGGACACGGGGGGCCCAGAGTGGTATGATGGTGGGGAGCCCACGCCGGCTGAAAGCAAGCCTGAAACCCAGCAGGTGGGGTCCTGAGTCCCAATCATAGCAGGGGCTGGCAGGGCAATGCAGAGGGAAAGAAGAAAAGGAAGGGGGTTCTCACCTCCCATAGTGCATCACTGATGAGTAGTCATAGGGCACCAGCATGTTGCTGCTCCGAGATTTGATGAAGTTGATTTCAAAGCCTGAAAAAATACTTGGCATTAGGGGAAGAGGGCAATAGGGGCCTTCTGGGAACTTCTAACCTACCTGAGCTGAGGAGCCCAAAACCAGCCAAACATGGCGTCCCCCTCACCCACCAGCCCCAACTCCTTGGCGCCCTCACTGCTTGCTCCTCCCCTGCCCTGAGAGGCTCTGAACCTGCACCAGCTGATATGGAAACACAGGGACCTCATGAGTGGCCTGCCATCTGCACCTCTTTCTCCTCTCAAGCTCACCCTGTATGAGACACTCTTTATATCAACTACAGCTCCCACCAAGTCACACACTGCTCGGAGTGTCTTAGACGTCCCCACCCATGAGGTCAAGTGCCTACTCTTCAGCCAGTGTTAGGGACCAGCTGGCTCATCATCTATCCTGACCTCCCACACCCAGCAGCAAGCACACCTTGTCCTTACTGCCCCAGGCCAGCAGCACCACCCCCCAGGCCTGGAGTCCAGCACTTCCACATTGGCCAGAACACCCACTTGCTGTCACTTGTGTCCTCCAGGCCTGTGAGGGACAAGGTTCCCTCTCTGACTTCTCTTCTGCCCTCACAGTGAGCCTCTGAAGAACAGCTACACCCTCATCTTGCCCCACAGTCCCCCCAGGCCCAGCCAGCCGCCTCACTGTCCCATGATCACCAGCCTCCCTACCCCCAGATGGCATTCCAACACCCATACATCACTGCCTGAATCACCTGTCACTAGAGCTGGCTCATTTCTTCCTTTTAAAAACCCTTACACTATTAAACAATTTTGAATAGGCAATATTCTGGTTCAGAAAAACATCAAGAGATATTAAAATATGTAATAGATCTCCCATTCCATTGCCCTCTGAGTTCCCACATTTCTACCCCCACTGTTGCTGTCAGGCTGGTAGCAGTTGTTCTGTATATATTAACTAAAACAAATGTATTCTCCCTTTACTCCATTCTTAAACATTTTTTTTCCATTAGAGTAGCTGGTGTTTTAACCTTTTTTATTGTAAGAAAATAGGAAACAGCACTAAAACTCAAGCACTAACCCCTTAACTTCTGCTATTACTTTTATTAATTCCCTCCTGCTCTCCTTTATTTTCTCTTACCTTGCCTTGAGTTGTTTAATTTGTCCTATTTTTATTGCTAAGTATTGAAGTCTACACATTTTCCCAGAGCATTTCTATAGCTGTGGATCACTGGTTGTAATGTGTTTGATTTTTTTTTTTTAATTCCTGCCATTTCTTTAACCCCAGAGCCAAAAGAAATGTTGGGTTTTTTAAACTTTAATTTTCAAGTGGAAATTTTGGATTTGCATTTGTTATTAGTTTCTACTTTTTAGTCTGCATCATAATCAAAACAAGTTTTTAACTTTTTCAAACCTGAGGGTTGGTGGCTGTCATTGGGTAAGTTTTTACAACTATTCCATGAACACTTGGAAGGACTATAGCCCGTGTTTTCAGGGTACAGAGCCCCCATCATTCCCCACATCCCTGGACTAATCTCTGGTGTCAGTCTCCATCCCCTACCCCAGTATAAGATGCTGCTGATGTGCCCCCCAAGGCACACCTTTCTCTGGGGGCTTCATGCATGGTCTCCACCTTGCACACCATCCCCCTATGACTCCTTGGGCCCTGGCCCATGCTTTCTACACAAGGTTCCTTAGGCCCACCCTGGCCTGTGCACAACCTGGTTTACCTGGAAGGATTTCATTCCAGTTGATACGGATATAGCGGTCCCGGTCAGCCCGTGCGTGCTCATGCCAGAAGCCCAACACATGCATGAGTTCATGTAAGACAATGCCTGGACCCCTCTGGAGACAGGTAGGTGACAGGGATACCACCTGCATCCCTCCACTGCGTCCCACACTAGAGAAGCACCTGTGGGGACATAAAAGGAGGGCTGGGTGGGCACCAGCCCATAAAGAGCCAGAGCAGACCCAGCCCTTTCCCTATCCTCCCAAGTTTTGGGATGAATGAGCACCAACAGGAAGTCCCTATCCTGAACTCTTGTCCCAGATTGCTGTTCCCAAGTCCCTTCACTGCCTGGCCTTCTGTGAACTGAGTGTGCTAGAAGCTCATTACCAACCAGCCTAGGCTGCAAGAAAGAGGTTGGAACGATATTAACGTAGGTAACAGAAAGAGCTTATTAAGTAAACATACCCATGTGGGGGAGCCTTAAGTCAAAGCTGTCACACACATTATCTTAAGCCCCTGATGAGCTAAGAAATAGGTGGTCATTCCCCAATTTCAGAGACAAGGCAGAAGAGGCTCAGAAGTTAAGGGACTGGCCTGGAGTCAGGTGTCTCCTGCACTGTGGAACCAAGGTCTGAGGCCAAGCCTATCCCACAAAACCTGCAGTCACTCACCAGACCATGAAGTCTCCCCAGAGAGGAGGACTCCAGAAAGGCCCCAAGTCCTTTCCTCTCCCCCACCTTCTGCCCTGAGTCTTTGTAGGTCCAGCACACCCTGGGCAAGCCACTCAGTGTGCAGAGAGACTTCAGATCCAGAAAGACAAGCCCAGAAGGTTTTTGACCTTGGCTTAATTATTCCAGGCTGAACTCAGAGGAGAGCTGAGGAACTCACCCTGCACAGTACATTTATGAGTGAGCACGTGTATGCACACATACATACCACCCACCCACCACAGGAGCACCTACCCAGACATGGGGATGATGGAGATGAAGTCTCTCTGGCTCTGGTAGGCGACAAACCTGATGCATGTGGAACGTTCAAACTCGGCAAATGCCTCCAGGATCACCTCACGGCTGGACTCATCTGGGGGAAGAGACGCTGTGGCTAAACCCCCAAACCCCCAGAACGCTCTGACCCCTTGACCATCTGCATGCAGGGCAGGGAACTGAGCTTCAAATCACTCTCCCATAATGGAATGTCAAGAAAGGGCAGCAGAATAGTGTGGGCAAAGAAAAGCTGGGTTCCACCAGAGCCTGGCTGTGTGACTCTGGGGAGTCGCCGTCCTCTGGAACATTATCTCAAAATGGATCTGACAGCCCCGAGATGTCCTTCCCTATCAGCACTTCCAGGATGTGACCCTCCAGCTCAGGAGGCTCTCGGGAATGGAAGGGCTTCTGGTAGAAGGGCTCTCCGGGTGGTGACGTAGCAGCAGAGGAAAAAGCCCAGAGAGGAGTCCAGGCTGCACTTGGAATAAGGGCTGGGCAGGCAGGGAGGCAGCTTCCAGGACTGGGGTACAGGCTCACTCACCATACTTGCTAGAGAGCAGGAAGGGGACCTCCACAACACCACCATTTTTTGGCCACTTGTTGCTGGTGGCTGACAACAGCCGGAAGGGACTCTAAGGAGAGAGGGCAGCAGCTCAGGGATCCACAGGGGCTCAGGCCAGGCAAGCTTCCTGCCCACATGGGTGCCACACCTTAGGCCACAAGAGCCCTGAAGATGTGAAGCCGGATGCAGGTATGTGAGGGTGGGGAGGTCGTTAGAAAGGGGATAGAAGCGCAGGAAGTCAGCGAGCCAGCTGCCTGAGTCACCATGTACAACACAACCCTTGTTCTCCAGAAAAGAACTTGCAACTTATTCAATCAAGTAAATGAACAAAATACTCATCCCTTAACAGGCTGGCTAGGAGTCCCAGAGGCCCAGGGTGGCCTCCTTCAGAAGGGCTCAGAGCTCACCCACAGCCTTCCCCTCTCTGACCCCACCCCTGACTCTCACCAGGGTGGCCTCTGCATTACTTGTTCTGTCTGCCCCAGACCATCACTGCCACCACTGAAGTTTACCATCAGCACCTCCCTGTAGCCCCACCAGCCACCTCACCAGCCTGTGCTCATCTCTTCCTTCATCCCAGTACTTCCTGAGCACCTCCCCTGGGCAGGATACCAAACTGGGTCTTGAGGGTGCAAACCCCCTCCTTCAGGAAGCCCTCCCAGGCTGACTGCACCACCACCACCCATGTTATCTTCCTTTAGCATTCAAGAAGGCTAATTCCTGGAAGAACATTCACTCTGACTTTGGCAAGAAGAGGTGTCTATCAAGCTGTGAGCAACAAAGCCACATCCCACACACACCACCCCCGTGGTGACTCCTGGCGGACTGGCTCAAAGGCCTCTGACACCATGTGAGGTCATTGACACTCACCGGCCGGAGGATGTCCCCCTCAAGGAGGAAGCTGCTCTCTGGGGATTCCTCTGGGATGAGCCCTGGGGAGGAATGAAGGAGGGATGTGGGTGGGCCCGTGTCCCCCAGAATACAACAGAGGCCTTGGCTGCCAGGCTGAGCAAGCCCTGGGCTTCTCCTTCCTCTGAGCCAGGGCTTCCCTGAGCACTGAGGCTGTGTGGCCTCAGGCAAGCCACAGCCTCTCCATCACACCGGGCTATAAGCGTGTGTGACGTTGCTCAGCCCAACCACTCCTTCCCTCACACACACACAGTCCCAGCACCCTCACCCATGCTCAGGCCCCTCTGCTGTCCAGAAGCAGCCCTTCCTCCCAGCTGTCTCCTTCATGCTGCACTCTGGCCCAAGCCACGCTCCCCAGGTGTGCCCTGGGTCTCCTGTCCTGCCTCTCGCCCGTCTGGTTCCTCCCCATCTCTGTGGTATCCAGGATCCTAGAGGTGGCAAGTGACAAATTCCAGCTCGAACAACTCTAGGAGGAGGACTATAGCTGGTTCCACAAGTCTGGCTCTCCCCCAGGGCCTTCCCACTTCCGCAGGTCCCCTCCTCCTCTCTCTGACGTCAGTTTCTGCCACAGCCGCAGCCCTTCTCCACTAAGATACCAGCCCCATGAGGAACCTTAGAAGGATGCCTGGCACCCTGGAGGTACTCAGGTTGGGTTCCCTGGGAGCAGAGCCTAAGCCTGGAGCCACCTGCAAGTGGTTATTGAGGCAGCGAGGAAAGCAGGGCACACTGGGGCAGGATAGGGTACAGTTGGAATGTAGCCACGGGCGCTCCCAACCCCAAGTGGCACTACAGACTCGCCCCACCTTGAGGTAGGGGCCAGACCCAGGACCCTAAGAGTCACTGTGGGCACCCTAGGCAGGGGAGGGAGTGGCTTCCTAGGCATCCCTGGCTAAGGGCCTTCAGCTGTGAGGCTGTAGCAACCACATTCCCAGCAGCTGGGGATGGCGTGCTTGTCCCATGGCAGCTGAAGTCAATGCCAGGGAAGCCTCAGGTAGGTTCTGGCTACCTCCAGACCAGTCAGTGAGCAAAGCTGGTATGTGCCTTGCTCAAGCCCAGCAGTGCTGGGGCTACAAGTTGGCTGGCAGAGAAAGGGGGGGGGCACCACGTCCAATAGATTCCCACCCACTCCCAGGCCAGGGCCATCATCACCTGTTCCCCAAATGCTTCAGCACCAACATTTAAACTCCAGTCTTGGTTTCTGCCAGCTTTGTCCTAGGCTATCCGTATGTTCTCATTCTTTAGCTGAGATCCCCAGATAGAGGGATCTTGAGCCTCATGCTTTTTCATCTTTGTACTCCCAGCTCCTGCCCTCACATCTGCAGGCCGTCCGCCACCAGGTGGTTGACATATTGGCAAATATCCACTAAGGACTTAGCTCAGCAGCAGGCCTGGAGGGCCCCAAGGCCCCATATTCTCAGCAGGCCTCTTTGTAAAACCTATACTTTCCCCGTCTTCTAGAAGAGAAGATACAGAAAAATAGACTTACGTTGCCCATTGAACGACTGCTCTTCTAATGCCCACTAGGTAAGCTGACTCATTCTCAGGTTTTTCTGCTCATCTGCACACTCAGCACGGCTTTTCCCACATTACACAGGCAATTCCATACCCCTCCAGCCCACGAAGACACATGGGGCCCTCACCTTGGTTAATGGCAGGGATGTCCTTGTCCCAGGATGTCTGGGTCTCCTCAGCAGGCAGGTCCTCTGAAAAGCTGGTCCCACAGGCTCCGGAGCAGCCGGAGGCTGAGGGAGCTCCTAGGATCAAACCTGGCCCAGATGGACAGGTGAGTACACATGAGGCCCCAAGTGCCCCAACTGGTGAAGATATGAGGACAGGAAGTGGGGTGGGGTGTCAGACAGCAAGACCCAGGCCCTTTATGAGGGTAGATCTCCAGGTGGGAATAACACGCGCCTGCCTGGCCTCCCCTGGCAGCCCCAGCTGATGCTGATATCAAGGCAACTTTAAGGAAGGTGTTTTCTTGACTCCAACACTGGGCTGCGAAAGGCAGCTGGGGCTCTGAGTATCTGGGTGCATATGAGGCAGAGGAGGGAGGCAGGGACAGACCCCAGGCTCCCACGCTGATGACAGGATGTATGCTAGCCTCAGACTGCCACCCCATGGCTCCCTGCTCAGCCTAGAAAGCCTGGCATGGCCGGCGAAACAGGGTCATTAGAATACCACACCTGCCATCACCTGCCAGGCAGGCCCTCTGCTCCCAGGGCCTTGGGAGGCCCTTCCTGCCCCCTCCACTGCCTCAAAGCTGACTTCTCCCAGCATCCCAGGAAAGCCCATTCTCTGAACTATTCAGATCCCTGCCGGCTCCAGCCCCACCCTTCGGGCCTCTCCCCCAACACTCTGCAGGCCAAAGTCAAGAAGAGGAGGGTGAGACAGCCCGCTGCTTACCTGGCAAAGAGAGAAAAGCCAGCAGCCAAGGCCAGAGGCCTCCCAGGTCCATGCCGCCTGTGATGGGCCCAGCAAGCAGCCTCACGATCCCCCAGCAAGACAGGGCAGCTGAATTGCGGAGCTAGCGCCACCCACTCTTTAAATAGCAGCTTCTCTAGCAGCCACCTGCACCCTGCCCCAACCAGCTCCACCTGCAGCCCCATCCACTCCTACCTGTGCCCCCACCCCGACCCAGGCCTTTTGGCCCCTGGGCAGATATTCTTGGCCTGGCTGAGATGGGCGATAGGGTGGGAAGAAGCGGGGCACAAGGCGCCCTGTGGGTGTGGAGGGGTCCCACTTGAGGACGTGCCTCTTCTGGGGCCCCCTATCACCACCAGGGGACAGAGAAACACCGCACAAAGGTGCCGAGGTGGGAGGTTGAGAGGGAGCTCATCCTCCAACCAAAGGAGACCCCTTTCCTGCCCCCACCCTGTGCACAGACATGGGGAAAGCTGCCTGAGGCCCTGAGGCATCCCCAGTCTGCCTGTGGAAGGAGGAAAAGACCACTGCATTTTTATAAGCTTTTATTTTAGTGTACACACAGAGAAGCAGACAGTTGCAAGTGCAGGGATCAAAAAGTGTTCAAACTGCGTACCTGGTGTCACCAGAACTCCAGAGAAACCTGCCATGTGGGAAGGGGGAGGTTTGGCTACCTTGACCCTCATGGATGCTACCCCTGTCACCCCCACAACAGCCTCACTAAACTGGCAGGTATCCCCACTCCACCAATTCAGAAACTGAAGCTCCTCACCCACATTCCTCCTTCTCTTGAAGTCCCATCCTCAGAGCTTGGTCACAAATGGGTCCACCTGGGTTTAAATCCTGGCGGTAGAGAATGTGGGTACCCCCACCCATGCCCAGTGCAGGAAGTGACAGAACCAAGGTCACCAGCTGTCGTCCTCAAGTGCTTCTCAGCATCCTGCTCAGCACTTTTGAAGGACAGGAGTCAGCATCCTGAGGTGAAGGAGGTGAAGACGGGTGCTCCTGCTGCCCGGGCAGTATTAGCACGTGTGAGAGTGCGCACGGCCCACCGCTTCAGATGGGTGCTTGTGAATATTTATAATCATAAATAATCACCCTGCTTGGGTAGAGAAACAGATGCTTAGATAAGAAATGCAGTTGATCTTGAAGGCACTGTGTAAGTGAAACAAGCCATTCACCACAGGACAAGTGCTGTGTGATCCCACTTACACGAGGTATATAAAGTGGTCAGTTAGAGACAGAAAGTGGAATGGTGGTTGCCAGGGGTAGAGGAGGGGAGAAATAGGGCTTTGCTTAATGGGTTTAATGGGCACAGAGCTTCAGTTTTGCAAGGTGGAAAAATCCTGGAGATCCATTGCACAATGTGGCTATGCTGAACATTACTGAACTGCACTCTAAAAAACAATAGAGATGGTAAACTTCATGTTACGCAGTAGGTCATCCTTATGCTGGGGGGAGACCTCCCAAGACCTCCCCCATGGATGCCTGAAACTATGGATAGTACTGAACCCTGTCTATACTGTTTTTTCCTATGAATGCATATCTATGATAAGATTCCATTTGTAGATTAATCACACTAAGTGATTGACAATAGTAATAAAAAAGAACAATTACAACATACTGTAATAGAAGTTATGTGAATGTGGTCTCTCCACATTACTGCGCTGTGCTCACACCTCTTGTGATGCTGTGAAATGATAAAATGCCTAAGTGACAAGATGAAATCAGTGAATGACATAGGCATTGTGTCACAGTGTTAAGCTACTTACTGACCTTCTGACATCATCATCATGCAAATCCTCTGCTTCCAGGCCATGATTGGCCATGGGGAACTGAAACTTTAGAAACTGAAACTGCAGGTAAAAGGGAATTGCTGCAGGTTCTTCACCACAATTTAAAATTGTAAAATAAAGAGGAAGGAAGGAAAGAAAAAGAGAAATGCAGTTTGTTTGGAAGATGAACTTAAAAATAGGCAGTTGGGAGGTGAGATGGGCGAGGTAGAGATGGGATGGGATGGGGCAAGGGAGGCTGGGGTCTTAGCCAGCAGTCCTGCTGGGTGTGAGATGGGGCTGCATTGTGGGAAGACCCCGATAACTCAGGGCCACAGATGCCCCCCACCCACCCAAGCTGGTGTGAGGATTGTGGGCAGGTCCAAACAGAAGCCCACATAGGGCATGAGAAAGACCTGCTAGCAACCCAGATCGGCTCAGTTCTCCCCAGGGAATGCCTCACTGCCCTCCACCCCAACAGCCAAGGAAGCAGGGGACAGGCTGTTCCTCCTTCACTAGGCCTTGTGGAATGAGTGCCCCCCATGCCAAACTCTGACACAGTGCAGAGCAGAACACAGGCCCTGCCCTCAGTAGCATCCGGTGTGGTGATGCACAACCGTACATCTGGAAACCTTTGCTTCTGGTAGCTAACATTTCCTGACCACCTACTATATGGGGGTGCTGGGCTAAACCCTTTACATGGATTGTCCGGTGTAACCCTAAGAGGTGGGGACTAATTACAGTCAAGGAAACTGAAATACAGGGAGAATAAGCAATCTGGCCCCTTACCATCAAACTGTATCTGCCCCTCTCAGCTGTACCCTGCCAGGGACTCAAAATGCACTGAATAAGAGACAGCAGTCTGCAGGGGTGGCCCCTGAGCTAAAGGGAAGGACAAAACAGCTATTTGACATTCAGAGGCAGGAGCAGGATCAGCTTTCAGACAAATCACAGCCCCCACCCTCGACAGCCACAACATGCACCCCTCCCTCTGCTTCTCCCTTCCTTGGGCTGGGCAGTGGGCTCTGTCTCACGCTGCCCCCGACAGTGTCCTGTGTTGGGCACAAAACCAGTGTTCAATCAAAACATTCTAGTTGGGCAGGTGTGAAGAACTGATATTCTTGGCCTGCACACACCCATCCCATCCCTGACGACATGCCCTCAGCACATGCCTTCTGGGGACAAGAAGCTCCAGAACAGGGGCTGCCACGAACCACAGCATGGACAGGGATTCTGAGGCCTGGGGGTCCAGCCCAGGGACATGGGAGAAGAAGCGTGGCCAGGCTACCCACTGTGGAGAAGTGGAGGCCCAGGCTAATACAGACACACACAGGTGTGCGTGATATATAGGTGCGTGCAAACCAAGGATACTCACACCCACAGGTACAGCCACATACCTGGATGCACACCCACATACATGCTCCAGAAAGGAAGTGTGGTCTGACCACAGCAGTGCTGAGCTCAGTTCTGAGTTCTGGACACAGCCTTTTCTCCACAGGACCAAAGCCAGTAACAGGAACCAGATTGGAGCCAGCCTCCCAGAAACCACTTTTCAGTGTGGAGACAGCACCCTGGCCAGGGAAAGGGCACTGGGGCTGGGAGGCACCCACTATGGGTGAGGCTGCATCTGCACCATCCTCCTTCTGTCTCAGGCAAGGAAAGGTGAGCTCTGCTTAAGAAACAGCTTGTGAGCATTTCCCAGGCACTGACTTGAGGCCAAACACTTGAGAGGTTGCTTTTTTAAACAAAACGATGTTTTATTGACACATCCTCAATGTTCCAAATAAATATAAAGTGCTAAGTTTCCAACCTCCATCCACAGGGCTGAGAGGAAGTGGGGGAGGGAGTGTTAAATGTCAGTTGAGCACAGTAACTTTCCAGCGCAAACACAGGTGTGAAATGCTCACACACATACACACGTAAGCTAGTGGTTAATACACAACATCCACCTCACTGCCCCAAGCCGGCTCCCCAGGGGCACAGGGCCCAGGCTCCAGGCCCTGGGGGCCACTCTAGCCAGGCTCCAGGCTGTCACAGCTTCTTCCTTGGACTCTCAGGCTGCCAAGGGCTTCAACGTGGTGGTGGGACCGGTGGAGGTCATGAGTGTAGAGTCCTGTTAGTTTCCACCAGAGCAGGGGTAGGAAGACAGTAGATACATGCTCCACTCTCATCCCCAGAACGAGGGCTGGCCCTCAAACCCCTAGCAGAAGAGCACCAGGTGAGAAAGTCCAGCATTCCCAGCACCTGCCCCCCAGAGGGGCTTTTCAAACTCCAAGGAAGGAGCGGTTCTCCTTGAGGTGAGGGGGGCTGTGGGGCCTCCCATCCACAGTCAGTACTCCCCACCTAGGAATCAGCAGCTGTTTGGCCTCAGCACTTGGGCAGCCAGCACTGTGGGCCCTGCCTCAGTGACATAGCACCTGAGTCTCAAACTGTAGCAGCTGCCCCATGAAACTGAAGTTGGGAGAAATGACACCCCGGCGTTGCTTAACAAAGTCAAAGGCCTCGTCCAGCCGCACACGGTGGCTCTGTATCAGATACGCCAGACAGATAGTGGCAGATCGTGAGATGCCTGCCTGGCAGTGCACCAGTACCCGGCCTCCGCTGTTCTTCACCGAATCTGCAAGGGAAATGGGGGTGGGGATCAGACAGGCATCCCACCGATAAATGACAGTCCCCACCCCTGAGGCCCCTCCAGGTCCTGAGGCTGAGGAGCCCTCTTACCAATGAAGCCTATGGCCTCCTGGAACCAGGCACTTATCTCCACCATCTGGCTGTCCTCCACCGGGATGCTCTTGTAGCAGAAAAGGCCCTCAAAGTGGTTGGGGCAGCCGGCGGAGACGTTGAGGACAGCTGTGATGCCACAAGCCTGCAGCCCCTGCAGATCTGACGAGTGGCTGCAGCTGCCCAGGAACAGGTAGGGTAAGATCTCCACAGGGCCGCCCTGGAGTGGGGGAGGAGGACGCGGGGTGGTGAGGTCTGCTCAGCTCAGGCCTGGAGGGCTTGAGCACTAGCAGGGCAGCAGAGTCCCAGGCAAGAGGAGATCTCAGCCAGTCCAAACCAGGTATCAGACACAGGAATAGGAGAACACACGTGGACACACAGAGATACACACAATCCCCTCAAGCCTCAAAATACGTTGCGCACATTCAGACCCACAGGGACCCACATGTGCAACCCACATCAGGCACACGAAAAGGTGTGCTCCCGCTTGCCCACGCGGACACAGCCACAGGTGAGCCTAGACACGGACACACTCCTCCCACCGATAAATGACAAGACTCTTTCCTCAGACGCCCTTATCCGGTCGGAGGGCAGGGAGAGCACGGGAACAGGGACAAGGAGCCCTGATCTCTACTCACCTGGTCATAGAAGGGAACTCTGGGGTCGGAGTAGCTGTTTTCTGCCCCCGCAGGTGGCAAAATCGGGGCGGGGGACTCAGAGCACAGATCGGGACAGCAGGCCTGGAAGCCTTCGAAGCCTCCTGCGGAGCGGGCCAGGACAGGGTTAGCCGGGAGGGCCCGTCTGTTATCGGGGGAGCGCAAGCAGCAGGTTGAGCACGGGCGGGCGGGGGCTCACCTCGCAGGAAGTAGACGGCGGCGGGCCCGGCTCGGGTCTCGTGCAGCAGGGCGGCGAGCAGCAACTGGGCTGGGCTGTCGGGCGGGAGCTCGGCCACCGAGGCGCTGCCCTGGTCCAGCACCACGGCCCGCGTCAGCTCTCCGCGGGCCAGGCGCGCCCGGAGCGCGCGGTCGGGCAACAGGCAGGCGAGGATGGCGGCGGGAGGGCCGCGCGCGCGGCGGCGCAGCAGTGCGTTCCAGGGCACCGGCCGCGCGGCACGCACGTGGCACCGGCAGAAGGCCAGGAAGGGGCGGCAGTCAAGCAGCAGCGTGCGCTCGACCTCCTGTGGCTCCCGCAGCAGCGCGCCCAGCGCCGCGCAGTCCAGCTCGCGCGCCTCCTCCAACCCCATGGCTTCCTGCTCTTCGTCCGCTTCCTTTCCCCCGGTTCCCCACGCGCTCTCTCGAGGTTCCGCGGTGGCCGCACTGCCCGAGACGTCGGTTCTGGGCGCCGTCCGCAGCGGACCGGCTTAAATACCCGCCGGTCACCACCCAGGTCTCCATACAAGGGCAGAGCAGGAAGGCGCCCGCGCCCGCCCCCACGGCCTCAGGCGGTGCGCGGGCTGGGCGGGCGGGAACCGGGCCTCAGAAGGGAGGGGTGCGAGGGGGAGGGGGCCGGGGCCAGCTTGGGGGAGGGGGGTTGTTTACCGGGATCAGCGGGCCCAAGCGCCCCCTCCACACGCACCTCTGCGCTGCAGCCTGGAAGAGCGCTTCCACCTCTGACCCTCTCCACCTTGTTCAGTCCTAGTGAGCTCAGCTTCTCAGATGCATCTTCATTCCCGGAAACAGAGAGCAGCACGGGCCCCTTGCCAGGCTTCCTCTCCCTCTTCCCTTTCCCTATTCATCCCAGGATTTCCCACCTAGGAATTTGTTACACAAAAATTGCCATATGCCTGCTGCCACGGATGATTTCCACCCTGGAGGATGGGCTGAGATGTATGCACCTTTTCTACTGAGAGACCTTGGGCAGGAGGGGCTTTATTCCCATCCCTGCCTCCCCCTCCACCTCCATTGTAGGGCTGAGACCAGCACTCCGGGTCTTGCAGCAGGTTGGTGACCAAGCTAGTCCACAGCATTGTCCTCAGGGCCCAAGACGCTGGACACTGGCATGAGGTGGACCCCTGGGCCTTGGGGGCAGGGGGGAGGCAGGGGGCCTATGATGAGTTTCCAGTTATGAGTGGGGCAAAGCTTCTTCCCCTGGAGCCCAGGGAAACCCCAGGGGCCCAGAGTGAAGCACTTCCTCAAGTGACAGGCCAGCTAGAGAGGGGAACTCTGCTGATGCTGCTGGGCTCTCGCACGGCCTCATGGGAATTTCAGGAAGAAGGGGAAGAGAAGATCTACCAGTGTCTACCTCCTCCAACCCCTACCCTTCCCCTTCTCATCCCTCCCTAGGCCTGTAGCAAACCCCCTGGACAGCAGGGACACAGGACTGGCCCTTGAGCAGGGCAGTGAGCAGTAAGAATGCAGAGCTTAGTGATCTACATCTCTTCTGCCCTCCCCTACCCCAGCTGCCAGCCCAGGGTCTGATGTGGTGAGTCCCAAGTGTGCGTGGGGGATCTGGGCCCTGGGCTCGGGGCAACATATGTTGGCAACTGAACTCCAAAGCAGACAAATTGAGGTGGATGGGGACAGTGTCCTGGAGCAGAAGCTGCCCCCACCCCACCCCTAGCTGCATAGTATTTCAGGACCCAAGTTCCTAGGCTCCCATTCCCCTAAGTCACTGCCCAGTGCCCTTTGTATAAGACACTTCCAGCTGCCTGCAGAACCATGTCCAGACTGTCATACAGGGGTAAATCTTGGACCTGTGTTGACTCCCAAGCCCTCCACTTGGCTTGTAAACTCTGAACTCCTCACAGTGGTGTGTTGTGTCTGTGTGTGTTGGAGTACCATCTGTATGCAGTTCCACGATGGCTTATGTGTGCTGCGGGGAGAGGGGGCTCCAGGGAGAGAAGCCCCAGAACTCCAACGATTCCTGGGGCCATGTCACCCTCTTGTGCCTCAGTGTCCCCATCTACAAGATGGGGTTTATGATATCCCAGCTGTTCACCCACACTGGCTTTTAGGCTGTGAGGCTCATCCACTGGCTGGGCACCCACAGTGCTCCGTCTGTCCCTCCCTCTCTGGCCAGTCTGGAGGCTGATGAGGCAAAGCCCACAACAGAGCCTGGGAGTCTGGGCCACAGATCCCAGAGACTGATAGGGTCCCTTATCCTTGGCATTAGCCAAGCAAACGACTTAAATCCAGGGGCAAATTACAGAGCACACAAAGGAAGAGTCAGGTCCAGTCTTGCTAACCCATGGAGCTGGCATCACCTGCTGTGCTGGGAGCCTCCACCTTCTAGCTCCTTGGGAGGAAGAGGGAGGACTGGCCAGCTGGGGGCCTGGCTTAGGGGTGAGAATCAGCCCAACAGTAAGGGCCCCAAACCGCAGACTTCCTCACTGGGCTGAGCCTCTCCACTCCTTAGAGAGAAGGGTGCACACCATGCTGGGGAGTTCCACATGGGAGCTGGAGTGCATAGGTGAAGACTTGCTCTAGTGGCATAGTCCCTGGGCCCCTGCCCTGTGATCAGACCAGGACCAGCCTGAGGTAGCTGCATGTACATCAACCCCTAAAATGCCACCTGTTTCGGGGCTGTCCCCTTTGCAGCTCCAGAACACAGGCTCAAGGAGGCCTCACTTAGCCTTGAAAGAGGGGGTTCCCCTTTACCTCCTCCTATTCCCGAACTGGGGAAAACCCCACCCTCAATAATTGGGTGAAAGCCCAAGGAGGAAGAGAGATGGAAGGGAAGCAAACCTGTGTCCCACCCCCACTTTTGCACTAAAGATCCCCCCAGCCTTGGTGAGTCATGACACCAGATGGCTTCTCCCCCTATGCCACCCCCTCAAGGACCACCAGTCCCCCTGGCAGGGTTGAGGCAGGGCTCTGGGCACATGATGAGGACAGTGTGAGGAGGCGTTTTGGTTAGACAGGATGCCCCACAAGCTACAGGTCCTGCAAGGAAGTGTCATCACTAGACGGTAAGAGGACAGCCAGGTGGCAAGGGGGCGTGGGTACCATGCTCAGAGACTGCGGTTTGCTTTGCCGGCCCAGCTGTTCCAGAGCAGACACTATCAAGTAGGTTCAGGGCTCAGCTTTTTTTTTGTTTTTTAATTAAAATACCCAACTTGAACAAATGATGATTCTGTGCTATTTTTCTTTATGACCATCTGTTGTGACAGCCGCTTGGTGTCCCTCGCCTCCTGGCTTTGGGATTCCCAGTCTTTGCCTGCCCCACCAGCCCATCCACCCAGCCTCCAGGCACAGTGGTTTCCCTTCCACAATCTATGTGCTGATGAGGCCTTGCAGTGTGTTTTCCTCCCTCCTTCCAAACCCACACCCCAAGCAGATGCCCAGGGAGGGAGGAAGGAACAAATGAATGTTGAGGCTGCTGTCCTTAGGCCAGGCAGGTATGAAGATGAGAGTAATGAGTGATGGCCACCCCCACCCCCCCTGCGGAGTGAGTCAGGATAATATCAGGTTTCCTGTGCCGGACCCCTTCCATGGTGTGGGCGCCACCCCCACAGGCTCTGGCCAGTGACCCCATGCTCTGCAAACATGGCCCCTGTCCAGCCCAGTGGGAGAAAGGTTGGTGGCAGGGGGGTGAATTCGCCTTGGGCATCCAGACCTCAGCAAGGCTGGCTCAGAAGAGAGCCTGCCCACAGCTGAAGGGGCTGGTGTCTGTCCCCCACATGTGTGTCACACCACATGTGTATGTGGGCAGGAGCACATTCAGGCAGCCGGCGGGCAAAGCTGTCCTGGACACAACACATACACCAAGGAGACAGTCTCCACTTGGTGCTGATGTGGCTTTGATGCCTCTCAAATATCTGCTTTTCCTCATTTTAACAGAGGCTCAGCACCTTCCCTAAGGTCATTTATTCCTTGCTACATTTATCCATTCATTCAGCCCTTCACTCCAAAAAACTATTTGAGTACCTATCATGTGCCAGGTGCTTTTCTACATGCTGGGGATGCAGCAATAAATCACAACCCACTGCCCTCAGGGAGCTGACCTCATTGTTTTAATATTTATTTTTGTGATTATGTTGTATTCATGGAGAATGATACTACTTATCCACCTCAAGTAATGATACAGTTTCCATAAAATGAATTTTAGGTTTGTGAAAAACAACTTGAATGTTACCAATAGTGCCCAAAATGTTAAAAAGTGTACTACGGGTTGGAAATGCTGCAGTCAGGACACGGTGCCTGGGAGAGGCCCCTCAGACTCCTGCCGTTTTGGCTCAGTGCAGTCCTGTGAGGTTGGGCTCTCCCTCCTGCCATGGTCGCCCATCAAGAAAGGAGCATTGGGCACAGAGGGGAGAAGAGGCCATAGCCCTGAGCACGGGAGTCTGGGACAGCCAATCCCTGCCATGGCCGGAGCCAGCTCCACTGGTGGGGTCCCTTCCTGCACCACGGCTTGTCCATCAAAGGGACCTGGCTTTGGCGGCACCACTGGATGGGCCTAGGCTTGGGGCTGGAGGAGACCCACCTCCCTGGCTTTTCCCTTGGCCCACACCCACCCTCAGCACACCCTTGGCCACCACCCCCTGCTCTGGTGGCAGTGAAATGGTCCCATTCCCACCCTGTCAGCAGGAGGCACCCCGGCTTAGGCAGAGGTAGCCATGGAGGGAAGAAGAGGTTACTAAGGAAGGGCTCTGTCACCAGTGGATGCGGTTGGGCAAGAGGCGAGGGATTCTCAGAAATGTGACCATTTGTGACCGCATTATGGTCACAGGGTGTGTGGCTTTGTGACAAGAAGACTCCCAGGCTCCCCTGCAGTCAGAGCAAGGGGACTTCGAGAACCAGGGGAGCCAGAGACTGCTCCTTCCTGCCTTGTCACGTCACCTTTACAACCATTAAAGACCAGGCTGGGCCACTCCCCTAAAGACCAGTAATACCAGCAGCAGAGGGGCAACGGTAGTAATAGGGTGCAGCAGGGGGCTGTGGGGGCCCTGGAGCCACACTACCCCAGCTCAAGCACAGCTGGGCTGCTTCCTGCTGTGTGGCCTTGGACAAGTGATTTAACCTCTGTGTGCCCTCTTTAAATAACAGCAATTCCTAGCACTGTGCTGGTGCCTTCTAGGCATTGCTGCATCTCTGCTTCAGGGCTTGGGGACAGCATCATTACCCTGCTTTGCCATAGGGAACCCAGCGCCCAAAGGGGTAAAGTGGCTGAACCTAACCATACAGTGCATAATTGGGAACACTGGGATTGGAACCCAGGGTTTTACCACAGATTGTCCTGTCTCTGGGTTGCACAGGCCCACAGCTGCCACTTTCACCAGCACTCACCTCCTGGCTGGTCTCATCTTTCTTCATAAAGACAGCTACAAAAACTAACTGGTGGGGTGCTTGCCATGTGCCTGGCCTTGTTCTAAGACATTTACTGGAATAACTGCATTTAAATCTCAGAGAGCCTTAAGAGATGGGAATGACT